GTCGCTACCGTTACCGTTATCGTCGAATGTTGTCGTACGACGTCTTGCAGTTTGCGGTTTTGTGCCACCACAAACAACCAAACAAAGACAGCAAGTACACATTACCATATACACAAGCACTCGCACATACATACAAACAGACATTTTTATGTTAAGGAGTCCAAAAGCGTGTGTGCGTTCGCCGCTCTTGACTACAAGTTCATGAAACTGCCATGAAAAATTGGATTATAAAATTCTATTTGCCACATCTTTTGTGTGGTAGTTGCGGCGCTTGCCATTTGCGCTTCATGGCAAGTGTTTGCGATGCCACCTCCACGTTCCACGTCACCTTCCCCGTCATTGTCCTCATTTCCGCTGCCATTGCTTGTCGTTTACGCTCGTTTCTCTAGAAATTGCGCAAAATTTGACAGTTTTGCACGTTTTGAGGTTGTCAGTGGAACTGTCAAGCGACGAGCGAGCTCTTTGATCGACCCGTTACGCTTTTTTGTCGGATGAATTTTAAATTTCGAATTATGAATTTCTTACTCGTTCGTTGCGTCTATTGTCAGTGTCCTTTATGGCTGCAGCGCAGGGCTGTGTCATATTTCATAGTTGACTGAGGAGGACGCACTTGAATTTGATATCTATTTGATATTAAAGGATGTATGTATGCACGTGTGTTTGTACATAACTCCACGAGTATACGATTGTACAGCTAACCAAACGAAGAATTTGTTTGACAGTACAGAAACTTCAAGGAAAGAAATTCTATTTGTTGTAGTAAGGTAGGGTAGCAGTGCCAACCAGAAGATCATGGGCTAGAACCCTGTTGGCAGATGGACCTAAAAACTCCAGACTTCGTTTCACTCCGGGCTGAGTAATGGAGAATGACGATGATAAGTTCTCTGCAGCGCATGATTGGACTCGGTATAAAAAAGGTCTTACAAAAAAGGATCTCTACTATGTTGAAAAAGACGTATGGGCTTAGCTTCTGGACGAGAGTATTTCAAGTGGGAATGCCGGGTATATCCGTGTCAGCTTCAAGTTAGGACGTACTGTAAGATTGCAAAGCTTGTAAAGATGTCAAACGACCTCTCTTCGTGCTACACGGTTGAATGATCTGTTAATAGTTCCTACAATTTACCCCGCTGAGCACCAGAGCGCCAGAGCGCAAGGAACCAGGCATAACGAAACATCAACTGATTTAGCGACCGAGGGTAACACATACTTGCCGGCCTCTTAGCAAAACTAAAGCCAGAAGCGATTTTGTTCCTATGGACAATACATAAAGAAGAGATTCTTACTGTCTTTACTTACCTCGGGCAGAAGTATTTCAACCATGTCTTCTACAAGATGCGTTCAGATTTTAGGACTTAGAGAGGGTTCCTTCGACAGCCCACAATGCTACGTAGATTTGAAATTATGTTCAGACGGGGAAAAGATAATCTGAGCTCAGAAATATTATGGAGCAAACCTGATTCTGAATTTTAACAAAGATCTAAAGCTAGATTGTTACTATGAAGACGGGAAACAACCATTTCCTTCACATTTCATCTTCGTACTATTGGCTTTATGAGTCCTCAGATCGACTATGTATGTATAAAACATATTAAATTTTTGAGAATCCCTGAAGCTCACAGAAGGTTATGTGATATCAACTTTTCTGGACCCTTTAGAATCCCCAAATATTCCCTCGCTTTCAGCCGACTGAGCCAGCAAATCTTCTTACCTCTCGTCGCTCTTTATGCACCGAAGCGTTTTTCAGCAATTTCATAATTTTCGGTGTGCGTCTTGATGTTTTTACCTCTGAATGTTTGATAAATTTTTATGAAGAGGTCTTCATTTCATGCCAGAAATATAATCAGAGGCAATGGCAATTTTAAATTTTTGTTTAGAATGTTGCTCTGGCCAAAACTCGGAAAGTTGGTCTTACACAAGGGAGCACGCACTCCTAACCCCTCTGTTTGTTAGGCCGACTCAACCGAATTTCCTGCCCATAAAATGTATGCTCCTATACTTCTCCTTCCGAACCGGCTTGAGCTTAGTTAGTCAACCTATTTATTATTTCTTCTTGGTTTATTTATAAAAAGTTCCACTCTAAGTCAGATATTGGTTGGGTAATACTAAAATCCGCATGGAATGCATCAGATGGCAGCTCATTACACTTCACCGCAGCAGATCAATGGGATCTCAACGTAATCCCAAGCGCATCACAGCAGTGGCCCAACACATCCATATTCAGTTGGCTCTCAAATATTCTAAATTTAATAAACAAAAACAAAAATGTTTCGAAAATATTTAATAAAAACAAAGGCAGCTGTGAAGGAAGTGCTGGATGGTGGGTGGTGGATGGTGGGAGGGAGGATGGAAGAGGGATTTTGCCGATGGCAGCGGAATTATTAAAATCAAACATTTGTTCGAAGTGAAAAAACACAACAAAAACAATACAAATTTAATTAATATATGGATCACAATATTTCGATGGTTTGGAGAGTGCTATATACATACATTGACGCTTACATTTATATACATATGTACACACATATATCTGTATATGAGTGTCCACATATGGCGGCGTCGCGGATTGGCCAATTGTGGCGTTATGTCGCAGGAACGCATACTCGCATGTGAACAAGCATACATACATTGAATATATGAAATGTATGTATGTATGAATATACATATACATATATGTATGTAATTAAGATTGTTTGTTGGTATTGTGGCCATGTGGAATTCATTTCATAATTTCACTTGACATCGAAATGTGATGGAAATGATTTCTCATTTTCGTTCCAGCGTTGGTGTTGTTGTTTTCCATTTCATTATTAGTCGACTTCGATCCACGAGTAGGCACTTATGTACATACATACATGCATACATACAAACAAATATGCCCACATAGTCGCATGGATGCAATGGATATGTGGCGACTCCGTCATTACGATTTTAGTTGTTGCTGTTGTTTTTATGTACGCTTCGCCGCTTGAGCAAGTGAGGAGGGCCACCGTTTTGGCCTTTGTTTACAAACACACATTTGGCCGAATATTATTAGAAATAATAAATTAATTATTTATGAGTGTTTGGTTGTGCAATCCATGCAACGCCCGCATTATTTACGACAGAGCATTCTGATTTTTCTGTGAGTGAAATCGTTTGGCTTTGATGCCTGACACATCACGGAAATATTAAGTTGTAATAAAATCGCACATCACCGACTTCCCAGCCGCTACGGGTGAGTTATGGCCAAATAAGTGTCTAAGGCGATTTCTCAAAATTGAACATCGAAGAGATGTTGATTTCAAAATCTGATTTTCACATGAATGCAGGAAATTTACAGTTAAGTAGAATGGCAAAAATATTAAGTTTTGGAAATTCGCCGAAACCAATTTTGCACCCCCAAAAAGATACCGAAAAAAACTACCAGGATGATTTTTTTTAAATTACCAATAAGAATGGTCAAGTTCATTCTTCTGATTGAAGTACAAGAAAAATCAGTTTACAAGAGCAATTCGAACGAAGGACTCCCACCGACTGGAGCGCTTCACGGCGCTGTGTAACCTCCACTGCTCCGGCAAAGACATACGCAGGAGTCAAACAATTCAAATTCAAAATTGGTTAAAAGCAAAAAACCGCAAATCCACCTTCGAGATCTGACCTTTCCAGAGTAGTGAAGGTCTTCCCCTTCGTTCGCTTCCACCAACGAATACTGCCTCTTCACTTCATCCATCGGCGACATGACAAGGTCAAGGTCACCGTATAATTCTTACCGCTCATCGCTCTTTAGTTGCTTTGTTTGCCGTTTCCAAGGCATTTTTGGCCATATACCTTTCGAAAACCTCTTTGGTACTAAATTTCTGTTGTTCCCTAGGCCAGGTTCTGCAGGAAGAAAGGCTCTGGTCAGGACAGGGAGAATCTTCTCAGCCTATATTTCTCCTTTCCCGAGTATGGTCGAACAATCAGACCTTACTGCTCCCGTCCTAATATGGCACAATACCAACACCGCACTTAACACCAAATTCAGCACTGAGCGCGAACCATTCTAGTAGCTTTTGATCTCAAGAAGCAACCATTCAATGTTAGCATCAGATGTTGCAGAATTCTTATTACCGCCGGTATTGAAGTAGTGGACTATAAGCTGACTGAGTGGTCGACAGTTATGGACGGGATTTCGAGGTTAAACAACCAAACTCCGTAAGATTATACAATCGGTTCCGATCTTTGGTAACTGCTCTTTGCCTCTGTTTGATTTTTATACATCAAAGCTTTTTTCCGACATAATTTTCATTGGTCTCAATCGGCCCGACCGTGAGAGGAAAGCTACTGAAGTCAACGGCAGATCACTTGCTCAGTAAACGACGAGTTTGGGAGCTCAATGCCTAAACAGACATTTACTTGAGGTTGGACTCCATCTAGTCATATCAAACCAGACAATATGGACAGAATCCGTCAACACCATGAACTCTCTACCAGTGAATGGCGTTCTCGGAATCCAATTGCCGCCTATTACAGACGAAAAGCTCGAGCTGCCTCGAGAGATCCGAGTAATACTGACACAACTAATATCTGGATATTATATTCGCTCGTATCTATCCAGATTTGGCCGCCTAAGGTATGTGTTGCATGCAATGAGACCCCGCAAAACTCTAACCATCTGTTTGCATGCCACCCAAAACAAACTACTATAATTCATCTTTTTCTCTAGTCCGAACCCGTCGAAACAGATAGTTTCCTGGACTTGTCGTTAGTTGACCTCGACCACTTAGACTAGTCTCGCTACTAAGCGTGGAGAACCGCTACAACAACAACAAGATTCCCAGTGCGGAGTTGAACCGCTTAGCACATTTCCAACCTAAACGATAATAATCTTTTCAGCAAAGGCTCGAGGATTTTTGTCAAGGTCGAGGAAGTGCTCGAAGATTGTGGAAGCTTTTGAGAACAAAATACCAACCAGAATCATAGGGTAGACAGGGTACACAGACTTCATGCTTATCTCTTATTTATCAAATAAAAACCACCGATTTGGTTTTCTGACAATAATTCATATAAATTTTCTCTTTATTTAATACTTTCAAATCTCAAATTCTTCATTTCGCTAAAATTACTTATTGACTTCGCCTTAAGAAATACAACATTGCAAAGTTATTTTTATGATATGTTACATAATTCTTAAATTAAAAGTATAATTAAAATTCGAAATACGGGATGCGCCCCGTCATAAATCGTTGTACATCAATTACCGTTAGTGTGAGTATTTGACAAAACAAAAAACTCTTTTAAAAGAAACGTATAAATTAGAATATTTTGATTAAAGACTACTCTTCGTCGCAAATAAGATTATTTGCCGATTAATTATAGAAAAAACACTAGCAAATGAGGATCCCATCGAAGCTCTATTGCAGCTCTTCCAAGTGCCTCCATCGAGGAGATAGATGGTGGACATTAAAAATATGAATACTTTCGCAGGTAAAATGAAATCAATTTACAAAATATACAACTAACTAATACACATACACACACAATAAATATTTACAAGTAAACGAAGTTCGATTTTGGCTCGCAATCGGACCAGCGACCGGCCGACTTCGACGGCCACAGGACTAAAATGTAATATATAACAAGGTAACGGTGTTTGCGATGACTAACTAACTATCGTTGAGGACGGTTACAATTCAACAACTACGCCTGCGACTGAGTTCTACACCGAAATCGCGCTCGATGGTATTTCATTGTATTGCTGCTGAGGTTGTTGGGTTTGCTGATTGATGCCGCCCGCTAAGAACATCGAACGGTAGACCTCCGAGAGAAGGTTCCACATGGGTGGTGCTGCAGGAGGTGGTGACGTGGTATCTGTGGCTGCTTCGGGAGTGGGCAGCGCTGTTGGTACGTAGGGCGCTTCAGTAGACTGTGCAGCGGCTGCAGCCGCGGCTGCGGCAAACATTTGCGATTGCAAAAGGCGTAACTGTTGAGCTTCACTGGATAGAACCGCCGAGGGTTGTTCAGTTGTGGAAATAAAAGTCGCTGTTGGATGTATTTCGGTGGGCAACTGTTGTAGCTGTTGTGGGGTGAGATCAAGGCAATTCATATAATCACTAGAGTTTTCTTCTTCCACTTCCATTTTCACCACCACTGGCGACAAACGTTCTTCAACTACGTCGGTACTTCTACGCTTACGTTTACCCAGTAGAGAGTCTACCGAGAACCCGTTCGACTTCGATACAACTGTGCGCTCTGGAGTCTTGCGCACGGCTGCAGAAGTAGTGATCGGACTGGCTAAACGTTCCTCGACAGCATCGATGCGTCGCTTGTGCAAACTAAAGTCCAGCGGTTCATTAGAATCTTCCATAGATTGAAAATTATCCACCGCTTCTTCTTCGATAGACACCGTTATGTGCTCTTCATCGATTTGTTCGCTTCGGTTGACTTCGCATGTGACTTCTCCATCATCTTCATCATCAGTTGCGTCCACTTCCCTGCAGTAATCGTCCACATCGCTATGACTATCGCCGTGACTAGTATTGGAAGCGGTCGTATGTACGTCCAATATGTAGTTGTCATCCTCACCCTCGGCATCCGAAGCTGAAGCTGAGCCAGAGCCCGTGGAGCTGTGTCTAAAGTCACCACTCATGCCTAAACTCTCCTGTCCGGCTAATATGTGTTGGAAGCTGGTGCCATTTCCTGCCGTTGGGTATTCGCCAAACATAGCGGTTTGATGTGCGCCGTACCCAGCAGCTGCAGCGGCTGAGGGTGGCATAAGTCCCGGAAATGCGGCCGAAGGCATTAGACCGACAGGTGACAACGAAAACACAGGAAACTGTTGCGCTGTGCGGCCATCGTGTGGTGAGATCTTGCGGCGGATGTGGGGCGAATGCAGCTTCGGATTGGGGTTGGCGCTATGACGATTGCGGGAGCGACGTGAACTGAAAACCATGTTGCAACCCTCAACAGTGCACTTGTGCATCTCACGCAAGTGAACTGCCGAGAAGTGTATTTTCAAAGCGCCCTTATCGCAGAAGGTCTTCAGGCAGAGGGAGCACTGCACGCGTTTTTTGCCCGTAACAGGGTTGATAAATTGCGCAGCGAGATTGACGGGCGGTGAGCCCCAACGCTTCGGCTTCGACATTGAGCCGCCGGCGATGGGTGAGGTAGCAGGCGAGACTGCAGCTCCGACGCTCGTGATGGGCATGGCGCCGGGTGCTGCTGTGGGCGTATGATGACCCAACAGGTAGGCGGGTGGCATAAAGGCAGACATGAGGTGTTCCATTTCTCAATTTCGTTGTACTTCTTGGCGACTTCCCACGAAGCGTTGTGGCTTTAGCTTTTTGTTGCTAAAATGAGAAGAAATAAATAAAAGTATTTAATTAGGATGGCTCAATTGATTTGATTGTATTTAAAACAAACAAGTCTTATGTATCAACGCTGCACATATTATATGTATGTCCAACAACAACAATAATAACAACAAAGGCATTTCAAAATAAAATCAAATTTCCGCTTTGTGGATGGCGTTTTTCACTGCCTAGAACAACCATAATCTTGATTGACAGTCCGAAGTGGCAGTTTGTGGTTTCACAAAAACACATCAACAACAAAAAGAACAACAAGAACAACAATGAATGGCTGCATTTGTTTGCGATGATCTGTGCATAATTAGAAAGATGACATCTCCTACGAGCGTACAGTTGGAGCAAAAAACGTTTCTCACTGAATTCTGTACAAGCAGAGTGATGCGAAACGACTCGAAGGCGGAGTGGAGTCGGAATGGGGAGCGAAGCAAACTGAAGTGAAGTAGAGTGTTTCGATCTTCAACCAGATTACATCATTTCCCTGATGTCAAGTTGGATAAACTGAGACGCACTTGAGAGCAATGATTCGGCGGATCACAGATGTGAAACTCATTAGTCAGATACAAGCATTGTGAATATCAATTCAAAAGTCATTACTTTCTAAAACTAAAGCAGTCCTAATCCAAAGAGGTATAAAGAGCTCGCATGGTCGAGGCAGGACTTCTTTTGAGTAAGCGAGGCCTCGAGAAAACCTTTTTGTGAAGAGACAACTGGCAATCAAGGACACAAAATTACGTCATAAATGTCGCTAAGAGCGATTCGCGGTAAGCGGAATGAAGTTGAACATGAAGATTAACTTGAAGGACACATTTCGCGCAAATCATTAAACCATCACACTCGCATGCAAACAGACATAAATACATACATACATACATATATGTTAGTAAAAGCTTTTGTGTTAAATTGAACGCCAGCCGCGCATGCAACTCTGAAAGGCTGACGGCTGCTGATGGTGGTGGCTATAACTCAAATCATAAATTCAAGTGATCTTCAACGCCAAAAACTCAAAAGCCTGGATGACAGGAGACAGCAAAATGAAAAATGTCAGGAAGACCTTTATTCTGCTTGCCGAGAATGTGTGAAATGACAAAAACTGAGCTACAGCAGGTTTTCAGGTATGTCGCCTGCGTTCGAGCTAACCGGGGAATGAAAACGCTGAAATGATGGTATTGTCAACAAATATACACTACATATGTATGTATGTGCATATATTCAAGTGCTGAGCGCGAATGCTCGGTATTCTTTCACACGTTCTACATTCGAAATCTAACTATGACTGAGCGGCGGAGCTGAGGGGCAACTGCTTTCCAGCTCAACTTCAGCTCAAGCACACTTGCATTAGAAGCCTGCTTGCTCTCGAGTTGCTCGGTTGCCGCAGAAAAGCAGGAGTCATAAGGAAAGCTTCACAACCGCTTCACCTCTTCTGCCTATATCCCTGAGCCTCTCTGCAGTTTTTCTTACCTGTCAGCGGCGCATAAAATATTTTTTACGACACCAAACAGCAGTGGCTGCCATAATTCGCCGGATTTTCCTTTTTTGTTGTTTGTTTGGGTTATTCGTTGTGGATCGGCGATCAATGGAGATGACGAAAGATGCCAACTTACATACATACATACATACGCACATATGTATAGACGAATAAACACGAAACGGCGTAAATGCACGCAGGATGTGTGTTTATAAAAATACAAAAATAATAATATGTATATGTATGTGTGTATGTATGTAGGTGCGCATTCATGTGTCATTGTCCAAGCCATCACAGAAGAATCATGTGGACGAGTATGTAAATTGTGTGAGAAATGAAGGTTTTTAATTGATCGTAAATAATTACGACTTACGCGGGTGCAACAAATCAAGCTGCGAACGAATTTCATTTACGACAATCAGCAGCGTTCAATAAAAATTTCAAAAAAAAAAAAACAAAAACAAAAAAAAAATACGAATATAAATACATACGTGTGTACATATGTATATCTGGCAATAAAATGTCGTCAGACTAATGCAATGGTCATGTGGAAAATAAGTAGAAGAAGAAGAAGAAATGCTGAATTTGTAATCGATTTTGGCTATATTTGACGTCTATAAAAATTTACATACATACATACATACATACATAAGTATGCAAGTGACACAAATGACCTCTGTCGCACGGTGACTTTGTCCTCTTACTGCATGTAGTAATTTGATTTTAAATTTGTTTTTGTTTTTTTTTTTTTTGGTTTCTTTGAACATTTTCAACCTGCGCTCGACGCACGCGTAACGCATGTAGCGGCGCGCGCTGACAACCAAAATGTCAAGTTGACATATTCACTTATACGTTACAGCATATGTACAGGCATACATATACATATGTATACTCCACAAGTACTTATGGGCATGTATGTTTGTATGTATGTATGTATGTACGTAATAATAAATCGACGTTTACCGCAGCAGCAGCAGCATCTGTCACTTGTCTGGGACAACAATGACCGAGCATGACATAAAAATGACAGTAGTTTGTTAATGTACTGTCGAAAACAACAACAACAACAACAACAACAACAAACAAACAAACAACACACTGTAATAAAAAGGTCGTGACAAAAAAATCTTCAAAAACACGCTCCTTTCATGTTAAGCGTTTCTTTTTACAAATAGTTACAAAAATGTATGTGAATATGTAAGCAAGTAAGTAAATCTGTATGTGTGTATATACTCGTACGTAAGCATGTAAATCGGTGGTAAAAAGTGTAATAAAAATCAACGACAAAGCTGTAACTGCCCCGAGAAAAGCGGTAACAACGAAAGCAGCAGCAACCCTCCTCTCGCCGCCCCACCGAAAACCATCGCACACCACAACGCCAAGCCGATCGCTGATCGGAGTTCGTCAGGCGTCAACAGCACAACTGGCCGGCAATAAGCAGTTACCTCTTCTGCCAGCCGAAGATGACACTTTTATCGCTGGGGACCGAATGGCGATCACGCCACGGCCGCTCACAGCTCACCAAACTCTTCACCATAGCCACGCTACGCTTCTGGGCAAACCGGTGTCTGAATTTCGGCACGCCGCTGCTGAGCTGCTGCTGATGCTGCTGCTGCTGTTGTTGGCTTGATGGTGATTTATTATCACTGGCGATTGTATGCGATGATCATTAACATTTAGATTGGATTTTTACTTAATGTTAATTTGTGCATACATATGTACATATGTAGGTACATTCATACATATACACAAGTGCTTCAATATAGATTTGTGTGTATGTATGTAAGTGCGAGTGTTTTTTCATTTCATTTTTATCTCATCTTAGCCTCTTTTTGGCGGCTTTGCTTGTTTATTGTTCACCAGCGGCTGCTGTGGCCTGCCTTAATGTTGTTGCTTTTCTAGGTAGCCAGTTGGTGACCGCCATAAAATCCTAATGAGCTTTCTCAACGCTCAACTGCTGTTTTCTCGCGTTCTACTAAGCGGTTTTGTGAGAGTTTCTTTCGGTTTATTGAGATTCTTTGACAAAATCTTTGGATGTCAAATGTTTGACATGAAAAACATTAAAAACACACACATACACACACACACACATGTAAGCATGCTTGTGGATATAAAAAAGACATTAACCAAATGCAGCAGCAACAAGCCATTTAAGGCAACACCGATCGGATCACTTTGGATCGCCAATTGGTAATTATAAAGTCATAATGTTTGTCTGTATGTGTGTATTAGATGACCAAGTATGTGTGTGTGTGTGTGTGTACAACTAAATGCAGATACATAGGAATAAATGTTAGCGAAGTATGCAGACAAGATAAGCAAGGCGTAAAATGCAGCCGACGGTGGAGACCTTTCAAGTTTACCGCCACAAGCTAAGAATTCATTACACAGTTTTAAGTGCTCCGTCTTATTTTGAGGTATCGATAGGGTGATCTCGATAGTAGAGCCAAGTGTATCGGCGATAGTACTACTTCGAAATGATATGAGCAATCACAATGAAAGCTTTTGGGCAATCGAGACTTTTTCACAATTCAAAGCACTTGGTGTAGCTTGGAAACTCAGTGCCGAGCTGAGTGTCAGCAGAACGCCCTTGACAGTTGTGGCTTCGAAGGCAAAAACTCCTGCTCGCTTCAGTGTCAATTGAACCTCCCAACTCTATAAAAAAAACAGCCGCTCGGCAAGTGTTTTTTGAGATTTTACGAGCCCATTAGAAAGATAAATTAAGCAAAGTAAAGAATGAGGCGACAAAAAAGCTAAACTGGAAGAGATCACCAACGAGTAGAGGGAGCAGGCAAGCAACTGTGAGCTGGTATAAATAACTATTGTATGTGTGTATGTATGTACCACGAATAGTAAAACGCAATAACGACAATAAAATTAGCAACAACAGCGCAAAAGCTGGTGGTTAAGAAGTGGAAGAAGAAGAGAAGCGCGCTTGCTTAGCGCTTTGATTTTTGATTGCTCTGTTTGTTGTTTTAGCTGTAATTGTAAAGTCCCCATCACATCGAAGAACTTCTTTAGTACACGACAAGTCGTGAAAACTTAACAAAGAGGACGAAATTTGAGTTCTTCTTGAGCTCCTCTCACGCCACTTGGCCTTTAGACGTTTCACATAGATAAAAATGAACATAATCATACATACATACATACATACATACGTAATCGTGCAAACGTCTATTTTATGTGTGTAACTTGCAAGACTCGACCGCCTTTTGATGTCATAAAAAGTGAAGACCAGTAGTTGTAAACCGTATTACAGCCACACAGACCTCGGAGCAGCCACAGCGATCGGGCGAGCGCGGCGCAAACGGCGACTGGAGCACTTTAGTGGACAAAAATCACAAAACATTTTTAATGACAGCCGCATGAACCGATGTGAAGCTGGCGGGATACGACAAGCACTAAAAGCGCTAAAGCGGTCAGCAGGGAAGTCGTAGAGGTAGGGGCCTTGGCTCCAAACAGCAATTGACGGAGCTGCGCTGATCTTCGGTGTTAACTTGTGGCACAGCTGTTGTTGTTGCGCGCTCCTCATCCAATTTTAAATTACATTTTATTGACAACATTTACTATGTAGATGGAGCATTTAAACAAATCCACATACATACATGCATAAATGTATGTACATATACGTATGTATTTATATGCATATATAAAATGTTAGTTCGACAACAACGCAAATTGCTTCAACAACAGACCCTTCCGCAGCACTCAGTCTTCAGCAGAGTTTTCTTGCAATTTGTGTCGTACAAAGTATGCAGTTGAAATGTAATCGCTTTGGGAACACACACATATGTATGCATGTGTACACATAACTGTGTTTGTAAAAATCAAATTGACAACTGCAGTGATTGGCTTGATTGCGCCAAGCTTCGTCAATTGAGTCGCCATGACCCCGCATTTCTAGTGGGTCCGTTCGTTTGGTTGGCCGCCTCGCACTGCGTTTGCTCGTTGGCCTTTTCAATTAAAAAATATTAGCTTCAGCGGGGTTCCAGCTCCACCATTGCCACAAGATGTCGTCTGTCATCGCGGAGCGTCTGGTCGGCTTATTGGATGATGAGTTACTTGGTTACTCAGCGGCTGCGACCATTTGTAAGTGTTGTGTGTGGTTGCATTGTACTACATAAGCATATGTAAATAAGTTTATATCTATGTGTTTGTATGTATGTATATATATTCACTAATATTTTCGTTATGCTTGCTTAGTCTTCAGATTTTTTTTTTCATTTTTTATTTTTTGAAAATTTATTGCTCTTGTTTTACATATTTTTCGGTTGCACGCTTCTGATTTCTGATTTCTGAATTTAGATTTCTGAGTTTCTTTTTCCATATTTTTCTTTTGTTTTTTGACTTTTCTGACCTCGCTCTTTGGTGCTTCCAATAAAGGCATTTAATGCCAGGTTTTCTCACAGTTAAGCTAAATTAATAATAAAACTGCTGAAAACAAGATGATAAAACGTCGGCACGCACACTTGGCCATGTACTTACATACATAAATACGCTAGCAAACAACCAAAAAATTAAAATTAAAACAAATATTAAGATAAATCAAAACAATGAAAACCACGCTTTTCGGTTTCGAAATGACTTTACGGTTAGTTTGCCTCCTCGGCACCCCCGCCAACAAAAATAACAACCTCGCTTTATATTTTGCCTTCCATTTAGTTGATCGTATTTTCCATAATCGTCTGAAGTTATTAAAAACAAGGCCTTTCTTATGTGTTGTTTCGGCTTGGCAAACTGTTAATTATGGTCTTTATGTGGCATTTCTTGAACGCGCTTAAACCGCCGCGCACCGATTTGCCCTCCAACCACCCGTCTTTCCTAATGCTCCTATTTCGATTCTCGCTTTTTGTCATTTACTTGTACTTTCACTGACATTTCGTGGACTTTTCGGTGATCTTTCTCTGTTAACATGTTAAATATTTTTTAATTAACCCTGAGTGGCCAGCGAAGAGTAGGGAGTTCAGCTTTGGCGTTATATAATTGGTGCTGGGTGTGCGTCTGGTCGTCTTCGAACGGCCGATCGATTTATACGAGGAGCTTTTATTCCATGTCAAAACCACACTCGGAGGACTTGAGATATGCTGCCGAAGGGTCTTGGCCCTGTGGTTAGTACGATTTGCTAATCACTTGGCTATCGCGTCTGCCAGCCTAGACATTGTGTGGTCAAATAGTGGAGCAAAATGTGTAATTGTAAAGGAAGTTTTGCAGGAGACTGCAGTTTTCAAATTATATTTATTTTTCATTTCTTTAGAAAATTCGAAGAATTAATGCAGAGCTTCTTGAGACGAATCAAAAGCATAATTTTGAGCAAATTCGACACTTATGCAATTATTCTTAGCAGCTCAGTCTGAAAGGTAATTTCAGAATTTTTGACATTAACTTTGCGTTTGTCCCAGCCAAGTCAAAACTGTAATTTTGAAGTTAAAATAAAATAATGAAAAAAAAAATTATAATAATACAAATTATTATTTAAAAACAGTCAGCTTTTTGATATTTGAGACCCTGAAGATGCTAAATTATTTAGCGAAACGTTGGGCAAGAATGTGAAATAAATAAATTAAATAAGAACTGACTGACTGACTGACTGAGCTTGGCAAAAACCAATAACAAAAGTATTTTCAGTAAATTTTCATTTTGCAAACAATTAATTGACATACTGTACATATGTATGTACATATATGCTCCTGCGTTCGGCGAGAGAAATCTTACTGCTATTTATTTTTGATCTAAATTGCTTATTAGCACCACTTTCGGAGAGATATCCAATAGCATTGCATAGAGCAAACAAATGAATGAATTTTGAAACATAAAAATTAGGATTTTTTTAAATTATCTACTTCCACTAGCTACCGAATTTATTAATTTCCCGCACTCGTTTTTCAGTTCTCACTTTTCGAATTTACTCTGTGAACGAAAACTGGAGATGTAAAACGTAAAATATTCTCGACACGAAATTGGAAAAATTCCGTCGGCAAAATATAAAATTGACCAAAAATCGCTGAAAAGCTAATTTTAAACGTACATACATACATAGTTGTATTCTTCAACACAGTGTTTGAAACTAAAAACTTAAATTTTAACTATGCTCACCTTTTTCGTAAAAAAAGCACTGCTTTCTTTAATCCTTTCTCAGTTCAATAAAAAAAGAAACTATTTTCCTGAATAATCACGTTGGACACACAGCCATGCACAGCATCAATGTATCCACATATATAAGCTTTTCGTTTTGTCAAGTTCAAACAAATTTTTCTGTTCTTCGATCTCGATATAGTTTTTTCTTAATTTCTTTTTGGTTTTTTTTTTTTAGCACGAGATATTTGAAATGTAGAAATTAATGTTATTTGTCTTCGCACTCTGTTTTTTAATTAATTTCTTTCTTAACACACTCACAATACTGTAATGGCCGGACACTCAACACCATTTGTTCTATTTTCCAAAAGCCATGTGTCTTCCAATTGACCAACACACGCAATCAATTTTAATTCTGAACCAACTTGTTTGTACCCGTCGTTGTGTGTGTATTTCTTTTCGTCTTCATCTACTTCATCTACTTCACTCCTGCACATATGTCCACTTCCTACAAAGTCGTGGGTGACACTGACTGACTGTGGCACTTTTTGTCGCTGTGAGAATTCAACCGATTTCAGCTTCTGTCGCCACTTCCACAACGACAACTTCTTGCGCGCTGCCTCACACCAGCACTAGCTCTAGCACCACCACCACCACCAGCGTCAACCAGCAACCAGCCAACACCGTAAGCCAGCACCAACAGCGTCTGCGGCCGCAGTGACACTAACACCAACGCAACCAGCACACGCTCAACCGCACTGCTGCTGTTGCAGACACCAACCAGACGCTCGCACTCAGTACGGCCAGCGAAATGTTCTTGGTTGACTTTAGCTTGCGCTGACGCCCTCTTCTGCACTGCAGTGCTCGGCTCTTCTCTGCTTTGCTGTGAGGACGCTGCTTGGGGACACTTTACAGCGACGCTCTAGCTAGAGAGACATTAAGGACATCTGCAAGGGACGCACACACGCACCGACACCGACAACTTCAACCCAACTGCGCGAGAGTGTGTTTGTGGCATGTCAGCAGTCAACCGAAACGACCCAGCGCAGCGTAGTTACGGACAGAAGCAGCACAGAGAGCGAGCGTCGACAAGCAGCGGTGCTATAATGAGCGGTGAGCTGGGGTATTTGTGAAATGACATAAAAGAGACAAAATCGTGCATCTGTGAATTTGATTTTGTGCATTTATACAGCGTTGTGTACGTGCGTCATGGAGTGTATTTGAGAGTGTGGTTGCGTGCTCAGTGACACTCGGGCGGCAACTTTGACTTCTTCAGTTGTGTTTGTTGTTTACCAGTTACGTATTACCTACTCCGTCCTCCTGATAAATGCGCTGCTTAAACCGGTCGCATTGGAGATTTTGTGCTCACAAGCTCAACTACCAGCTACAGCACGTGGTGGCAGCCAAGAATGCCAAGTGGCAGAGAAGAACACTATGAACAGCCAGGCAGACAATGTTTATCAGCTTTAAAGAGCAAATCTGCAGTGGGAGCAATGAATGCAGACGGCTATTTCGCTCCAACTGCTGGCAAGCTCATAGCGGATTCACTCACTCCTACAGTTGCGAGCTGCGTTGGGCTGAGTGGATTGACTAAAGAGTAAACAAAAATTTACTTATTAGGTCCACATACTCAATGCATACACATTCATATCCATAGGTATACACGTATGTATACATATGAAACGCTTTTTATACGCCGTACATAGGCGTGTATGGATGTACGTAGGTTTATGTGCAAGCAAGGTCGATAAAGTAGTTTTTGTATTTTTTTTTCTTCAAAGTAATTGACACTTACATATGTTTGTATGTAGGAATTTGGTTCTTAAAGTAAATAAAGATAGATACATACATACATACACTTTGATGTACATACGTAATAATAGATGGCAGAAATACCTTTTTTACCTGTCTGATCTGCGGGTATATCGGATGGGATATAGTAAATTTGCTCAGTAAACGGTTGCTTCTAACCAAATAGTTTAAGAAACAATTGAACTAATTTTGTGATCCCTCTCTTTTTTCTGCTATACACGCTACATGTTACACACGCTATATAATTTATAAGTATCTGTAAAGTTCTAAGCGACTGAAAGGAGTTATATCCCCCCATAAACTTCCCCACTCTTTTGTAGGTCTTTCACAACAACCTAACTTATCTTCCACTAGAGTCAACAGCTGCTGAGATTGGGCTCAGTGCAAGGGCGAATCTTCCAGTTTACCCATCCCATCTAAAAGCTTGGTCATGCTTCTTAATTTAAATGTTGAATAATTTACGGACCGTGGGCTCAGCAAATTTAATTGCGTATATTTAGGACTCATTAGATACTCGAACGAACTTGTGGAAATCGGGAACGAAAAATGAATATTCAGTTGCAGACCAAAATGCCCGCCAATGTCCAGCTAGACTGGAATTCAGCCCTCACTTATTTGTTTAATGGCTTATCTTGCAACTTATTCTAAGGGCTATCTCTACAGTAAGATTATGGATGTCTTTGTTAGCAATCCAAGCGTATACATAAGCATCATATATTTTATAAATAATATATACATTTATTTTATGTGCTCATTTACATATATTTAGATGCTAAAATATCTGAAATTTTCATCTCATCTCGGACTGTTCAATTTATTTACCATTGCTCCTACTTATGTATGTATATATATACATATGTATATATATACATATTTATGTATGCTTGTACATGTCACTACTCCCAGTGTCCATGTTTCAATAGTATCCTGTCCTTTATGTACTTACCAGATACAAACAACTTTGTGGGACGACACAATTCACAGCAGCGACGCACCCGCTTATCCATTTAGTCGGAGCAGCCAGTTTCTACGTGCATACATACATCCATACAAATTTATGTGCCATTTACGAAGTAGCCCCTCCGACCAAAAACCAGCAACCAACAGTCAACACCAACAATTTGTCCACATACAATACCAACTACGCAATCACAATATTGCTCAGCTCCTCACACATATGCGCCCGCACCCAGCGCCTACTCTCAGTCTTATTCGTTCGCACAGTGTCGCATGTTTCCGCGCTGGACCATATTCGGTTGACATGCGACGCTGGTGACCGTCGCACAGTGCCTTAAGTGTTTGTTGTTGTTTGTACCATACCATTACCCCAGTCTTTGCGGCCCCCATCCAAATAGTGGAGAGCACGCGCTCAAACATTTACGCTCAATTTAATACTCAGTTGCTTTGCTCTTACTTAAAGTCTCTATTGGGTTGTAGCCAACCAACGAACCAGGTACTCACGAAAGAGCATAGCGTGTTTGGTTAAGAGTGTCGTCAACGTCGTCGTCGTCGCCCAGCATTTGCGCCTTTGCGTGAGACAGAGGTGAAACGAGTTGACTTTTGCATTCGCAGGAGTGAAACACAGCCGTTAACCATTCGCATTTTTTCGCTGGAAACGCCGGCGTCGCTGCCACCTACTCTGCCGCGCTACCTGCGTCGCTCTCATTCGACTCTCTGGCGATAAAAACATTAGTGCCGCTGCTTCTGCCGACGGCGATGTAAACGTCGTTGTGGCTGTATTGTCGTTTACCAGTTGGTTTTGTTGGCTCAGTCCGTTTTTTGTCTTCTACCCTGAGTTTCGTTGTTGTTGGTTAGCTCAGTGCTGTATGGTTTTGTTACCTTTTGCTTCTGCCTTTGCCATATTCGATGTCGTTGTCGTTATCGCTGCCGCTGTTGGTGTTGGTGTTGGTGTTGGTGTAGTTGCAGATGTAGATGTCGTTGACGTTATTGTTGTTGCTGTTATTATTGCTCTTTACTTGAACTTCGTAAATACATAGTACGTTATTGTTGTTGGTGGTGATTTTTTTCCTCTCGTTTAAATTTTGTCATTTGTTGTGTCTCCTTGGCTTGGATGTCTCTTTCACTCGAAGGTATTTTCTAATGACGACCACTCACTCGCTACACTTCTCCCTCTGTCGCAGGCGAGTCTTGGCTTTAGCTTTGATTTCAGACGACATTTTAATATGGGGGCGAGCACCAATGCACCAATGACATTGCAGATCTGGTGACAAAGGCATTATTGCTATTCGTGACCGACCGATGCTGGGTAGGGAATGAAGGCAATTTAACCTCAACGTATGTATACATATACATAAGTTGGTACGTATGCATGTATGTATGTGCATACTCGTATGCTTGCCACTGCTGGTAAGTAAGTAAGTCATTCGGTAGGCAGAGCAGGAGGGAGGTTCTTCATCCGCTTACAATGGCCCGTGTTATGTATTACATGTAGATATTTACTTAGTTGAATTGTTGCATTTGTATGTATGCACCTTGGCTATATATGTACATATGTATGTATGTATGTATATACTATGGGTATGTGCATATATAATATATGAATTTGGATGCATATATAATATTTCGGTAGCAGTAGGGAGATTTTAGGGAGGATGTTGTTGGGAAATTTCTTGACAAAGAATATACATACATATGTATGTATGTATGTACATAGCTATAGACAGAGTTTATGCACATTTCGTATTTCTATGGAATATATCAGCACCAGTGGATGTATTCTTCACATATGTATGTATATACATAGTATGTATATATGTGAGTACCAGGAAAAAAGAGAGATTTGATGAACTTTAATATTTTGGATATTTTTCGGATGTTTGAAATGCAATTAATGTTTAAGCTCAAGTCTTGATATTAAATTTTAAACAATGCCATGCATTAATTAAATAATTTCCATACGGAATTTTCCCAATTTTAATAATCGTTTCTTAAGCCATTCCGCTAGTCCTCATGTGAAGAGATCAATAAAATGATGATATTTTTAATTAATTTCCATAGTTTTCGATATTGGTCTGGTCAAAAGTCAAACCTATGACCCACTGCATGATAGTAAGCAGTGCCAACTACTCGACCCTCGCGGCCGCCATTTACCATATGTATTTACTATATGTATATAATATCTAGTTCTTCTTCAATATAAGGCACTATATTTCGATATCATTAAGGACCTGTAAGGACTGCCATTGTCTTGCTTACGCAGTTTCAGTGTTTTCATCTTAAAGCGGGCTCTTCGGTTTTAAAATCCTTACCAATCGGTCAGAAGCCTACGTAGGAGACAACGACTTTAGAATGATTTTCGCGAAAATTGAAACGAATTAACGCAGGTACCAGACGTCTAACTTCTTTCTTGTTTGTAGCAGAGCAAGCACAAAAGCACGATAGTGAACATAAATAATTAGAAATATGTTTTAAATATTTACACACATATTACATACATATTTGTATGTGTAAATACATATTTATGTAGATAAATGTAGATAAAAGCTGTAATTATGAGTTACTTAGAGTTACTGCCACTCGCTTCGCCACCCTTCCCTCGTTGTTTATGGATGTATATATAATACATATGTATATGTATGTATTTACATGTAAGCCTGTACTTTGTATTGAGCAAAACTTTTGGTCAGAACAGACAGAAGTTTTCTCGTCAAGTTGTCTGCTCTGCTCTTCACTTGCAGAGCTCAGCGTTATATTTAATTAAACTACTTTGCAGTTTCGTGCTAAATAAACGCCGTCCATTCTCAGCCGTCAAGCACGAGGAATGCCCGGACCGCAACGAAGAAGGCCACTACTGGAGTTATGTACATGCATACATACTATGTGACTAGAAAGTATGTATCTATGACGTGTACGTGTGCTTGTGCTCTTGAAGAGTCTGTTGAACTTTATGATGTTTTGTCTCAAAGTAAGCACAAGCTTCCACTGGCGGTGCACATTCACATTTCGTAACTTAACTCAGCCATTGATGGAAAGTGAACCGTTTATGTATCTACCCATACATACCAATATACATATATATGTATTTGCCTGTTCTACTGAGGCTCAACTTTCATTTTCACATTTAAAATGCCGCTTTTAAGTGATAT